AGATCTGACAAAAGAATGAAAGATCTCTAGAGTAAAAACTACAAAACACTGCTGAGAGAAATTAAAGAAGACCTAAGTAAGTGGTGCAGTATACCATGTTCAGAGGTCAGAAGACTTGTTTAGATGTCAATTCTCCACATATTGATCTACAGATTCAATGCAACCTCAAAACAAAATCCCAGCAGTTTTTTAAAATATAGAAATTGACAAGCTCATTTCTAAAATTCAAATGGAACAGCAAAATACCTAGAATAGCCAAAATAACTTGAAAAAGAACAAAGTCAGAGGACTAACATTACCTAATTTCAAGACTTAATATAAAACTATGGTAATCAAGACAGTATGGTATTTGTATAAAGATAGGGCTTCCCTGGTGGCACAGTGGTTGAGAGTCCGCCTGCCGATGCAAGGGACACGGGTTCGTGTCCCGGTCTGGGAAGATCCCACATGCGGCTGAGCCCGTGAGCCATGGCCGCTGAGCCTGTGCGTCCAGAGCCTGTGCTCCATAATGGGAGAGGCCACAGCAGTGAGAGGCCTGCGTACCGCAAAAAAAAAAAAAAAATAAAATAAAATAGATCAATGGATAGAATATATAGTCCAGAAATAAACTCACATATATGTATATGATCAATTCCTTTTCAACAAAAGTGCAAAAATAACTCAGCACCAAAAGGCTAGTCTTTTTAACAAATCCTGCCTAAACAATTGCATATACATATATTTTAACAAAAGGAATTTTGGTCCACATCTTGCAATATACACAAAAATTAACCCCAAAAGGACTATTGATCAACTATAAAATATTACACTTAAAAAACTTCTAAAAGGAAATATAGAAGAGTATTGTTGTGAATTTGGAGTACAGAAAGATTTCTTGGATACACCATGAAAAGTATGATGCATAAGGAAAAAAACTGATAGATTAGACTCCATCAAAATTAAAAACTGTTAAGAGAATGAAAAAACAAAACACAACTGAGAGAAAATATTTCCAAATCATATATATGAAAAGATTTATATGCAGAATCTATAAAGAAATATCAGAATTCAATAAGAAAACAAAAGACCCAAATAAAAAAATGGGCAAAAGATCTGGAAACACATTTCACCAAAGAAGGTATATAGATGATAAATAAGCAAATGAAAAGATGTTCAACAAAATAGGTCATTAGGAAAATGCAAATTAAAACTACAATGAGGGACTTCCCTGGTGGCGCAGTGGTTAAGAATCCGCCTGCCAATGCAGGGGACACGGGTTCGAGCCCTGGTCTGGGAAGATCCCACATGCTGCGGAGCAACTAAGCCTGCGAGCCACAACTACTGAGCCTGCGTGCCACAACTACCGAAGCCCGTGTGCCTAGAGCCTGTGCTCCTCAACAAGAGAAGCCACTGCAATGAGAAGCCCATGTACACCAACGAAGAGTAGCCCCTGGTCACCGCAACTAGAGAAAGCCCACATGCAGCAAGGAAGACCCAATGCAGCCAAAAATAAAAATTAAAAAAAACAAAAAACAAACTACAATGAAATACTACTACAAACCTATAGGCTCTAATAAATACTGACCATGTCAAGTGTTAGGATATCGAGGAACTGGAACTCTCATACATTGCTAGTGGGAATATAAAATGGTACGGCTACTTTGTAAAACAGTTTGTCAACTCCTTAAAAAGTCACACAACTACCATATCATCCAGTCATTCCACTCCAAGGAATTTACCACAGAGAAATTAAAACATTTGTTTGTATACATATGTTCATAGCAGCTTTATTTGTAATAGCCAAAACTCAAATGGCCATCAACAGGTAAATGGATAAACACATTATGGTGTATCCATACAACAAAATACTACTCAGCCATACACACACACACATCTTTTGATACATACAACATGGATGGATCTTAAAAGATTTAAGTAAAGCTGAGTAAAAGAATCCAGACAGGGCTTCCCTGGTGGCGCAGTGGTTGAGAGTCCGCCTGCTGATGCAGGGGACACGGGTTCGTGCCCCGGTCCGGGAAGATCCCACATGCTGTGGAGCGGCTGGGCCTGTGAGCCATGGCTGCTGAGCCTGCGCATCTGGACCCTGTGCTCCACAATGGGAGAGGCCACAACGGTGAGAGGCCCGCATACCGCAAAAGAAAAAAAAAAAAAATCCAGACAAAAATTGCATATTTACTATATGATTCCATTTATATACAAACCTAGAAAATTCAACTTATCTATAGTAACAGAAAGCAGATCACTGGTTGCCTGGGACTGGAAGTGGGTTGTGTAGGGGTGGGATGTATTGATTACCAAGGGGCACAAGGAAACTTTGGAGGTAATGGATATGCTCATTATATTGATTGTGATGATGGTTTCATAGTATCAAAACGTATGTCAAAACTTTGTCATTTTGAACCTTAGTAAGTCTGTTAAAAAACTGAACAAACAAAATTGGTGCACTTATACAAGAGAAATCTATGTAGCAGTTTTAAAGAATGAAGTAGGGCTAATAAATACTGAAGATTTCCAAGATATAGTGTTAGATAAAAACATAAAGTACTGAGTACTGTAAATAACCTGTTACCATTTGTGATTTTATTTTAAACAAAAAAGGATATTCAACCAACCCATCCAATAATTGTTTCTACATGCATAAACTATCTCTGGAAAGGTACCCCAAAATTGATGAGAGAGACAAAGAGAGAAGGAGGGAGGGAGGAGGAGTGAGACTGGGCGGTTGAGAGAGAAAGAGGGAAATGGGCAGTAGACTGGGGTTTGGAGTAGGAGAGAAACTTATTTTTCACTGCATACCTTTCTGAACAATGATTTTTTTCCCCCACAAATGCACCACTTTTTAAAACGAACACTGATTCCATTTTGGAGGATCTGTCCTATGGCAACACTGGTGGAAATGCCAGAAGATACATGTACAAAGCTATCCATTGTTGTAATATGTTAAAGAAATTGTTTAAGGAAAACAAAAATTGCAACACATTGCTTACATTTAATATATTTGTTTAAACTAGAAAATAATAGCCTAAAATGTACACTCAGTTTCTCTCTCTCACTCCCTTTCTTTCTCAGAAAAATCTAAAACTACACAGACTGATACAAACAATTATCTCTGGGGATGGTTCTAAAGGGTCAGACAAAGAAGGGAGAGGTATGTGTAGTGATTTACATTCTAAGTTTCTGGATCGCAGGAAAATTTTTTTTGGCAATCAGTGTATATTTCCTTTTAAATTAAAAGGTCTCAATAAAGATTTTTATTTATTTAATTTAAAAAATTGAGCTATGATTGACATAACTCAATGAAGATTTTCAAAAATTAAAATAAATTAAAATTGGTTTCAGTTTGCAGTATCATCGTAATAGATGTGAAAGTGTGCTAGTTTTACATCAGACTTAATATGATATGCTCACCCTTTTCCGCGCTTCAGATTTCTGGAAGCACTCATGCTGTATGAAAGTAGCTGCAGCAGAAATCCTGGACGGCGGCGTGTGGTCTGCCTCAAGCATACTCACTGCTCGCTCCAGAGTCATCTCCGTGTCTGCATTCCTAGACAAACAGTCACAGATTCAGCAAAATTCCAAACCTGCCCTCTCCTGTCAACTTGATCCTCCAGAGATGACTTGGCTAATATCGTGAAGCACCTAGAACGTCTGAGCCTTGGCTCCTCTTCAGCCAGAGGAATAATCAGCCTCTGAGGTCAGAAGGTATAGGAAGCTAGCAGCAGAAACACTCCAGCTCTGGTCAGACTAACCTCTGAAGATACCACTGAATTGAGAAGAAACTTAACTCTGTTTAAGATAAACATGTATCTTACATGAAATTTAAAAGAAATTTGGTCACAGAAATTAAAAATTATTCCTACCCTGGTAATGTCACACCTGTAAGTTAAACACCTTCCCTCAAAAATCATTAGATTTTTCTCACCAGCTGCTCAAAATCTGTTATTTCACCTGAAAATCAGTTTTTAAAAAAGCATTCTAAAAGTGCTCTTATTTGATGAATATAGTAGTATGTAAACAGTACAAGCCAGGAAAACTAAGTTTGTTTGGTTAAAATAAGTCATGCTAGTGTGACAGAATCCATCAGGAAAGGTAATGATTACATGCAACAATAAAAAGCCCTTTTTTAAAGGCAATTTTATAAACATTCTGTTACCATTTGCTTTGCCATTATAATGACATGCAGTTTACATCTATCTAGTAGCATACTTTGTCCTCTACTAATTGCAAGTGTGTAGTGTTATGAAATCTGACTCAGTTTGATACTGACAGGATAATTTATAGAGACAAATAAAATTGCTATGTGTAAAACAATAGCTCCCAAATGCCTCACAGAAGTGGCATTTTTTCCCTCCCCTTGTACTTCTGCCTAGAGGGTGACTAGGTTAGGCAGCCTATTACCAAGGTGCATTTGCACTTCCTTTTTTTCTTTTGCATATTTGCACTTCCTTAAGTATCACCTCAGAGAAACCATACTCAGGATGGCAACACGTTAGGACTGTGGCTAAAGACATGCTTTAAAGGTAACCTAGGACTTTTTTTGGCTTCAAAGAAGGTTACACCTGATTCATTTCAGGTAATGGAGACTCCTAAGACATTATGGGAGGGAATTTTCCAGTACCTGCTAGCAAGAACAGTGAGGAAATTCTCTCTTATAGCTGGCTAACCCACCAATACATGTGCCTGTGTACAGAGGTGAGCATGTGTATGATTCAGCCATTAATGTACTTCGTAAGTCATAAATGACTCAGGAAAGTTTGAATTCCCAAGTCTCTAACACCAACAATTAATTCCATTCCTGAACATGATTCACAAAGAAGTTCTGCATTCACTACCAGCCAACCTAATGCTACTTTACTTTATCATTAAAAACAATTCCCAAACATAACAAAGACTTCCTCAACAAGAAGGTCTGTCAGGGCATCAATTTCCTGTTTTGTTATTGTCTGTAAAGTCCAACTCTATAACATGGCATATGTTCTGACCTCAGCCTGACTCCATCTCCTGCCATTCTCCACCCCATCTCCTCTCCCTCCCGATGGACTAACCCATCCTCCAATCACACCAGACTTTTAATCCTTCTCTAAATACTGCACGCCTCTTCACAAGCCACTCTCTCTGATTTTTCTAGAAAGCCCACCCTTCTACCTTTTTTTTTTGTTTTTTTTTTGTTTTTTTTGTTTTGCGGTACGCGGGCCTCTCACCGTTGTGGCCTCTCCCGTTGCGGAGCACAGGCTCCGGATGCACAGGCTCAGCAGCCATGGCTCACGGGCCCAGCTGCTCCGCGGCATGTGGGATCTTCCAGGACCGGGGCACGAACCCGTGTCCCTTGCAACGGCAGGCGGACTCTCAACCATTGCACTACCAGGGAAGCCCCCCTTCTACCTAATTCTTAATTCTTCAAGACTCAATTCAAATATCACTTCTGTGAAATCTTTCCTGTAGCCCTACCCCCAGATAGAGCCATTCTTTTCCTCCTCTATTCTCCCATAGCACTCCTCCCCTCTGTTTCCCAACAAAATTGGAGTCTGCTAGTGTAACACACAGCAGTCAATCTAATGACACAGAGTTGTGGTGAAGGAAAGTACAGCGTTTACTTCAGGGCACCCAAGCAAGGAGAATGGGCAGCTCATGCTCAAAAGACCAGATGGCTGTCAGGGAAGAGTTTTTGGTTTTCTTTAAGTAAATTTATTTATTTATTTTTAGGGTCTTTGTTGCTGTGCACGGGCTTTCTCTAGTTGCAGTGAGTGGGGTGGGGGGGATACTCTTCACTGTGCGTGGGCTTCTCACTGTGGTGGCTTCTCTTGTTGCGGAGCATGGGCTCTAGGCACGGGCTTCAGTAGTTGTGGAACACAGGCTCATTAGTTGTGGCTCACGGGCTCAGTGTTGTAGCTCGCGGGCTGTAGAGCGCAGGCTCAGTAGTTGTGGTGCACAGGCTCAGCCGCTCCAAGGCATGTGGGATCCTCCCGGACCAGGGCTCGAACCCGTGTCCCCTGCACTGGCAGGCGGACTCTTCACCACTGTGCCACCAGGGAAGCCCCAGGGAAGGGTTTTTAAAGGCAAAATTAGGAGTGAGGGTTGCAGGGTGCCTGATCAGCTTGTGGACATTCTTCTGATGGTGGTGAGGTAACAGGATGATGTTCCAGGAATCTCAACAATCAACCTGCTGGTTCCAACCAGTATGGGGTCTAGGTGTTGGTGGTCAGCACATAGTCACTATCCACAATGAGTGGCATTCCTAGTTTCTGCAGAACTCAGAGATATGTGTTAGATTGTTATCTATATCCCTTCAGGATGAACTAGGAGTCCTGTGACTCCATTGTTCTAATCATTAACTACTTGAGCCTGCTCTTTGGAACTCAGAGAGGGCCTAGGAGACAAAAGCCTTTCTTCAAACAAGAAACGTGGGATATGGAGGGAATTCTGCCCCCAGGCAAGGCCCTGCAGGGTCCTGCCTGGTTTCACCTCAATCTCTCTTCCTCCCTACTTCCTTCCCTGCTTCCCTTTCGTCCTTCTGTCTCCCCTTTCTGCTCACTGACAAAACATTTCTTGAATCCTGTAGAAATGTGGCTTGGGAGATGGGGTTGGGGAGGGAAGCAACAGGATGAGCAGTTGCTCCTCGGCCCCATTATCCACTGCACATATTCTCCAGAAGTGAGTCTTTTCAAAAACTTTAGTTAATATGTTAATATGATATCAATATATGTTTTACAAAAATGTAAAGAGGAAGCAGTGTAAAATATCACTGGTCAGAATATGAGATATTATACGGAAAAATTAAAAACGGTCCTTTTTTTTAGGTGTGCAATCCCTCAGCAACCGCATTTCTGCCAATAATAATACAGCCCTGCCCTAGGTTGGTTCCCAGATATTAGAATAGCTCTGAAGGCCAAGCAAACACCAGATGATGAATGAAGGGCTCCCTTGTGTTGTCAGATGCTTAGGAAATGCAAATCGCCCTACCTCACAAAGATTTTAGGTGTGATGAAAGCACTGCTTTGGAAAGATGACTTTGGAGTGGATATGTGTCTCTATACACAGTTTTGAGAGCACTACAAGAGTCTTAGCTGAAGCAATAAAGTTGTGAACTGGGCTGTTAAAAATGTAAATGGAAAGAAAGATATAACTAAAAGAGACCTGAGGAATCAAAGAACTAGAGAGGTTGGTAATTAAGAGGATGTGAAGGGAAGTTATTATGACATCTTTTCTGCTCTGTGCTGCTCTATGTCACAAAGTTGACTGGTGATCCTACCAGATATAAAGTCTCTCACCTTTCTCTCCCTCTACTAATACATCACTCTTTTGTTCTCTGAATTCCTATAGACACTAGTACAATCTAGCACTTGATGTGTCTTATTTTCTTTTTTACAGATCCTCTATGGTGCTTACTGCAGTGTTGGGTACACTGGAGCAACCTAATATTCATTTGCTGAACCACCAGTCCTCCATAGGTACAGAAATCATATTTTCAGTAAAACTGATCTACAGTGTTTTACTTGGTGATTTCTTAAACCTTTTTCATTAGTCTGATTTAGAACAGTTGTTCACTATCTCTCTTTACTCCAATGTTTTGATTTTCAGCTGCATTAGAAACTGACCAGCCATTCTTCTTTTAGAAACAAAGATCCATTGTTTAATACCTATGTCATTATGTAGGTTTATAGTTTTATCTAACTACTCTATAGGAACGTTCCACAAATGTGAAAGAACACTTCCTTACATGTGGGATTTCACTAGACATAAAAAAGCAGTTTCCAAATATAGGGACTGGATAGAGGTTGAAATGTGAGACACTGCAAGGCAAAGGAGAGCAGAGTGTGTGTTCTCAAGGGCAGAGCTCTCAGGGGGCAGCCCGGGGAACTGAAATGAGCCATGGGGTACACCAAAGGAGGAAGAGAATCAGATATGGATGCCACCTTGATCATTATAGGAAATATCCCTGACGCCCTTTCCTTTCCATACATAGCAAAAATTTCAAGAAGTGTTCATTTCTATGATTTATGGTCTCTAGGATGGAAACTTTGGGAATCATCAAGAATAGATTTCTTTCCTTTTATTTTAAATTTCTTGACCCCAAGTATTAAACATGATCAATTATTGTAATAAAATCCACCCTATTAAAACAATAACTCGAATTTAGAGGGGGAACAGATAAGAAAACTAATAACCACAATATACTATTCTGGTAGAGACACCCACACAGTACAGCTATCTGGGGCTCCTAAACTAGATTGTGAGGGGAGTGGTCAGGGAAAGAGTAGTAACTGAGATAAATCCAGAATCATGAGTAGCCAGCCAAAGCTACTGGGAGGAGACAGATAGACAGACAGATAGATAGATAGATAGGTAGATAGATAGACAGACAGACAAAGAAAAGAAGGAAGGAAGGAAGGAGGAAAGAAAGAAAGGAAATAAGGAGGGAAGGCAGAAAGAGAAAAAGAAAGAAAATATGTGAATAAATATTTTCCATTAAGGGAAGTAAAAGAAGTTCGAGGTGGTTTGACTGGGGATGTGTTTGGGGAAGGTGATGATGACAGGTGGAGGACAGTAGAAAGAGATAAGACTAGAGTAATAAGCATAGCTGAAAACATGGGCCTTGTGTGCCATGGTAAAAAGCAAAAAAATTTGGTGGAATTATGGGAAGGTTATAAATTGGAGAGAGGAATCATCAGATTTGGGAAGACCATTCTAATGGTCCTAGAGAATGGTTGAGTGAGCAAGACCAGAGGCAGAGAGACCTATGCAATAGAGACAGAAAGAAGGGTAAAAATTTAAGACCCATTAAGGAGAATAAAATATGGCTTGGTGATATGTGACTATGGAGGGAAAAGATAAGAATGACTCCCAGGTTTGTAAAGATAGGACGTAAAGATAGGACTTTAGTATGAGAAGATAGTTAGAAGTAGAGGGTAGGGAAGAGCTGATAGATTTAGTTTTGAACATACTGAGTCCATGACTTTGTTAGAAATACATACAGATCTAGAGTTCAGGATGGAGGACAGAGCTGAAAATAAAACACTGGGAATCACAGGATACAAGTGTAGTACACAGGGCCTCTTTAGAAGAGCACCAAGACCAGAAGAGAAGGGTTGATGAAGATGACTTCCTTGGGCATGCAGAAAAGTCTTCTCAGAGAAGACTAAGACATGGCTAGAGAAAACCAGGAGAAGCTGGTGCCCCGACAACCCAGGGAAGGGAGAATTTCACAGATAGTGGTGTCAAATGCTGCCCACAGACTAAGTAATATAAGGACTGCTTCAGATGTAGCATTAAGGCAATCATTGGTAGATCTGTGGGGAGCCTATTTCAGTGAAATGGTGGGAACTAAAGCCATACTGCAGTGGGTTGATGACAGACTGGGAAGTGACAAGGTGGTGGAAGCAGTGTGGGGACACAGAGATGCAAGAAGAGAAGAATGCCAGTTGCTGGAGAACGTGGCACAATAGTTTTGTTATTGCTAGAATAATTTTGTTAAAACTGTGCTTTACACAAATCCTAGAATACAGTAGGCATTTAATACATCTTGAATTATCCATTTAAAAGACTTGATCAGCTTTTTCCTCCATAATTACCTCATGTATTTTTCTTCTTTATAAGTGTGTCCATATTGACAAAGATCTGCTTTCTACAAGAAATGTTGGAAGTCTCATTCTCAATTTTGCTTTATAAAAAATATTTCTTGCTTCAAGATTAGATTAGCCCTAACATCTTTTCTCACTGGTGCCTACCTAATCAATGAGTATACTGCACAATTTCACTTAAAGGGATGATTAAAGGTAACAACTTCCATTAGAAATTTTAAAAAGTCATGTATTTAATGTTTTACTGTAACGATACTACATCATTATTTTGGGAGTTACTGATGTAATCATCCATCCATTTCTTAACCTTTCTCTTAGTGAGTTCCTCAGTTTAAGAAATTTGTGCTCCAGCATTAAACTTGAATAAAGGTTAAAGTTCCAAAAACTAGATTAGTCAAGGTATAAAGTAAATAGGAGAGGCAAAGGAATGACTTTGAAACTTCAATTATTTTAATTATTCAGTATTGCAAAACAAAACCCCTCCAATCACTGATACCAGAATCAAAAAGTAAAATTATCAGGTATCAAAGGAAGGAAAGAGACATCTAGAAATTAGCTGCCTTTGCTTAGCTCCATCTTTTTGTGGTAGTGTTATCAAAACAGCATTTGAGGTTCACTCAGCACCAGGAATAAACACTTTTGCCTTTTTCCTTCCTTTATTTCAAGGAATGATCGAGAATAACTGATGCATGCAATTATCCATTTCTTGGTCTACTCTCGAGTTAGCTCTCATTCAAAGCAGATTTTCATATAGCCAAGGCGCGGCCATCCCTTTAGCCAGCATCTAATTTGGAACAAACAGATGGATTAAAAGTCACATTTCCCCACCGAGCTGCCATACAAGCAGGTAGCTTGGCCCCTGTCCCTGAGGCAAACAGGCTAATCTGAAAATTAGGCAGCTGCCTGAGAAGTCATTGTTTTAATCACTTATCTCTGGAAGCCTTTCTCTGCAGCCCCAGGAGCACCAGCTCACACGGTAAGATCTGTGGGAACAGAATGTGCTGGCACCGACTGTGCTGCAGATTGAGAAGGGGACTCACCCAGCCCGCGCGTCCGTGAAAGTGCTTCTCTCCGCGAGCACGTTCCCACTTCCTCCTGCTGCCACTTGGCCCACAGTCATGTGGGTCCTCCCCCCGCCGAACTCGGCCTCCCTCAGCGTGCGGGTGCTGTGGAAGGAGCTCTGATGCCAGGACGACCGTGCCGCCCGGCCCTGCTTGCCCGGCTGCACGGACGGCGGCCTGGCCTGCCCCGCGGCGGGCCCCGCAGTCACGTAGTTCTCCTTCTCCAGGAGGTTGCCCAGGCTGTGGCTGGTCCCAGGCCTGGGGTACGTGAGCACCACCGGGTGGACCTGGGCGCCGTCAAGGACGGCGTCGTTCACAGACCGGTACTGGTAGCGCCTGTACGAGTCGTAGTGGCGCTGTCTGCCCACCGCCCCGGAGTGGCTGAAACCCACAATTTCTGAGCGGGCGTAGCGAGGCGGCGCGAGAAGAGTGGACCTCCTGCTCTCTTGCTGCCGCGAGGTGTGCCCGGCCTGGCTTCTCTGGCTGTATTGGTGCTCGCTGTGTGTGTACTGAGCCCGCTCAGGGCTGCTGTCCGGGGAAATCTCAAGTCTCCTCAGAGGCTGCCTCAAGAGCCTTTCTTCCACTGACTTCTGAGAGCTGTACTGCGAAGTTCCTCTCCCCCAGTGACCTTCATAAGTGGCAGCTGTACCTGTCTGCACAAGAGAGAAATAAAGTTTAAATGAGGCATGAATCTGTTCTCATCTTTGCTGAAGATTAACTATTCTAGGACCATTACACAAGGTGTTGGTTTCTCTGAATCACACAGAGAAGTCAGCTCCTTTCTGGGTAGAATGTGTCTTTAAACAAGACTTGGTTGTCTAGTTATTTGCACCAGGATTTAATAGTTTAAAGTTTCCAGTTTTCCATGGTGTCCACTTCTCATAATTAATTTAGGAAATGGTAATACTTGAGAACAGTAAACATTAAAAAATAACCTACAGAAGTTTAAAAATGTTTTCTTGGTAACCTGGTAACTAGGGTTATATTCTTTGGTATCCTACCTTTAGCATGTCATACGTTTTAGTAACAGGGGAACGGCCCCCAGCAAAATCATTTTCAACCAAGTGTAGATTGTAGACATATTCAGGAACACTGCTAGTTCGGTGAAGATTTCCTGTAATCAAGCATATATTAAAATAATATAAGTGGGCCAATCAGTAAAGATTATATAACAATAATATATTTTAAATTTAAGTAGTTAAGGTCGGGACTTCCCTGGTGGTACAGTGGTTAAGAATTCACCTGCCAAGGGCTTCCCTGGTGGCGCAGTGCTTGAGAGTCCGCCTGCCGATGCAGGAGACGCGGGTTCGTGCCCCGTTTCGGGAAGACCCCACATGCTGCGGAGCGGCTGGGCCCGTGAGCCATGGCCACTGAGCCTGCGCGTCCGGAGCCTGTGCTCCGCAAATGGGAGAGGCCACAACAGTGAGAGGCCCGCATAACGCAAGGAAAAAA